GAATTGGGGTGTGACCTGAAAGAGCTCTGAGAGGCTCATTATGTAGGGGCTCTTGTAGCTTTAGACTTAGTATCTGTCAGTTTGGATTTTCAAAGAGAGCAGTGTAAAAAGCTCCGTAGTGATAAAGGTTTCAGGAAAGGAAGATAGCAGTATGTTTCTTCTAATGTCATCCAGATAACCAAATCAGAGTCTTAATGGAAAACAATGGAGTTGAAGGAAGGCCTGGTAAATTCAGAACTTCCGAAAGCTGGGACTTCTTAGGTTTTTTTCCACTGGAAGAGATAGTAATGGAGCCCTCATTCATAAACTAGACATCTACGTATGAAAAAACAGTTTCTTCTGCTGGACAATTTTTGAAAGATTTGGAGAGCAGTTTACTAAAGGAATGAGATGAGAACCAGATGATATTCTGGTCTTTACAAATCAGATTGTAATAGGGTACCACTATATTCTTAATTAATCATGTTAATAAATTTCTAAACCTATTTCTTTCACATTTAGGGCAAGAAAACCAACTGGTGGCATTGATTCCATATAGTGACCAGAGATTAAGGCCAAGAAGAACGTAAGTGATTATAAGAAAATGGGAGTGTTTTAGGTTTTATTTTCATTTTTTATATTTTTTCAAATTACATATAAATAATTCTGGTTAAAACTATTAAAAGGAAAAATCCTGTCAGGTTGTTAAGTTATGCAGTCATATGCTTTGTGTCATTAAACAAACAAAACAAGGATTCCTGGTTGGGGTAAGGTCTTGGAAGCAGCATGATATCTGTATCTTCTTAAATCTGTTATTAAAACAGATCTAGAATAGCAGTAGGAAACACAAAACGCATGTCATTTGCATAAATAACAGGCAGTAAAGTGTTCCCAACAACCTCCGAGTAAAAATGGGTATTCAGACCATGATGATAGCAGGGACTCAAACATGCTTAGCAGCCATGTGGTAGTTGTGAAGGGAGGCAAAACAGGAGTTCCTGAGGATCCTATAAGAGCCCTGATTCACAAAGCAAATGCCGTGTCTCAAAAGAAGAGGACCCCATTCTGAGTACTCCCAGCAAATATTTCTAAGAATAACCTGCTAAAATGAGAAGACCTCAATGCTCTAGCTTGGAGAGAGTGTCAAAAGGCCACAGAGATCCACTAAGGGACCTTGAGAGAATCAGAAGGAACTGGACCACCCTAAGTCCTCAAA